ATACACAAACTGTATACTGGTAGAGTTAGATTTATCCATATAAATATTTTTCACTGTAGGTGAGTCTGATATTATTTTAAAATTTTAAAAACATTATCATCTAGAACATGATGGGCACTTGACAAATGATATCTATTAGCAGTATCTAAATGTGAAGTGGTATCATTTTTAAGTTTCAGAGAATTACCTGCAGTGAGCAAAGGAAGGCATTATTTCAAAGCGGAGGGAAGGTAATGAGGACGATTAGCGCAAAAAAAGAAAAATAATGAATCAGTGGACCCCATCTTACACATTTCCCAAGTGGGTTGACCACTTGTTTTTCCACCATCTTGGCATTTGAGGAAAGCTCTTTTGGAGATGGGCTAACTAGCAGCAGAAGAACCAAGACTGATTCATCTGGCCATGAAGGGTGTGAGGTACTAGAATCTGGAAGTGAAGCAGGGTGTGGTGACCACGTTCCCAGGACCTCTCAGTACCTGGTCAGGCCCAGTTGCTGGGCTAGGCTTTTGCTGTCCTGAGGCAGAAAAGTGAGCAGAGACCTTGAAGGAATTCAGTAACCTGCCCTTCCCCCAACCCATTCAGTCCCCAATCAGGTCTTCAGAGTCCCCTTGACTGATGCTCAGAACTTCAGCTTCTGGCGGTCCCATGAACCAGGAGTGCGTCCAGAGGAAACCATGCCATGGATCTGGAGCCCACGCCACTGTCTCATAAAAAGCCCAATGACCAGGTTAGGCTGGGAGAGGTTAGGCTGGGGACACTAAGGGAAGTACTCCCTTCCCTCACTTAAATCCTTAGAGACTGTTTGATCTCTGCTGTTTGGGAATAGGAGAGATGTGGGTCTTACTAGAGAAAACCGGCCCCAGAATCTGGGCAGTGGTGGCATTCAAAGGAGTTAAAGACTTGTCCTTATCTTTGTGTATGACAAGTGCCTATGGTATTCCTGTGGGAGTGTGGGGATATTTCCTCTCCCCCCACCTCTGCACCCCTCCAGTCACCATCCATTGGCAGTAGCCCTGCCCTTTCTGCCCTGAGGCAGTCTTGGCAACTATTTTTAAGGACCTCTCTCCCTGCAGCCTGGCCTGGCTGAATCTGAGACCCTCTCTCTCCTTTCCAGGTTTAAGGATCACTCTATTCTCAATGACAGAACTGTCAGTCTTTACTGAGGAGGATATGGTGGCAGACGGACAAGATGAACTATGGAAGGAGTGCAGAGGGGGAAGGAGGGAGAAGGTGCTGCTTCAGATGGATGACTAATGGGAGGGCTCAAGAAGGCAAAGTAAACAGACTGGACTAGAAGTCACTTGTGTGCGCTGAGTGGGAGCAGGAGGGTGGTATTCTAATGCCCAGTTTCCTTTGAAAGCAGATGTGTAAGAGATTCCTGAAGGAGCCAGACCTCAGTGTGAGAGGTTTGAGAGGGCTCAAAGCACTGGAGGGACAACCACAGGGGTCTTGACTTCACATGGCAGGGGTCAAAGTAACAAATGTGGGAAGACACACCAGTCCTCATGATGCTGAAAAGCCTAGGGTAGTCTTGTTCTCTGAAGACCCTGCATCTTCACCTTGGCAGGGAGAAAGCCACAGGAAGCCCTCTGACCACAGACGAGAAGCCCACAGAGCCCTGAGCAGGAGGTTGCCTCCTGTACCAGGCTCTGCCACTTCTGACGCAACCCAGGGCCCAGAACAGCTGCAGAGAACAGGGAATTTTACAAAGAGTTTGATTTTATTGGTATTTAAATATATTAAATATTTCACTGAAATACATGGTACAACATCCTCCCCCCACCCCCACAGTGGTTACATTATAAAACCAAAGCCCATGGCCTCCCATCCTGACTCCTTCACCAACTGGTGAGGAAAGGGGCAATGGTAGCCAAGAGAAGGGCATGGCTGGCACTGTGGTATGGGGAGCCAGGGTGTGGACAGGTCCCTCCCAGCTGGCAAGAAGCAGAGACGAGTCACCCAAGATCTTCCCACTCTGGTCTACTTACACCCTCACCCCTACCCCATGGCACCAAGCAGTCCCTTCCTTTCCAGGGTTATGGCCAGGGACAGGGGAGTGAACTTTCTGTCTGGACCAACTAGTCTTTTCCCCTCTTTCTGCCTCAGCTAATGAAGTGCCTGATGGCGCTTTTGACTGATGCATGAAGATCCCCCAAGGCAGGAAGTACTGAGCAAAAAACAAGGCCTCTGCAGGTAGCTGGCATCAGAAGGGGATGTGGAAAGGTAAACCCACTGCCTGCCCCTTCCACTTCCGAAACCCAGTGACTCTGGGGACTCTGCCCTCTGCCTCTCTGTCACTTCCAAGACAAAGTGATCTTCAAGCAAAATTGAGGCTAGTGCCTTTGGCTTAAATAGGTACAGATAGAGAAACCAAGGCACCAACTAATTCAGGCCAGAGTCAAGGAGGTTGCAGGGAAAGGGGTAAAAAGGCAAGGATAGGAAGGGAATCTAGAGTTCAACCTCCTAACCCTTCTCCCAGCCCATGCAGGCTTCACAGGGGTTGGGGAGCCGGGAACATGCTAGACTCAGGCTGAAGGCTAGGGAAAGCCAAGTTTAAGGTTCCCCAGCCCCATCCCCTAGTACCAATATCAGGGTCCTCAGAGGGATCCCATGCTACCCTAGTCCCAAAGCATACCACATCCCAGGACACTATCTGGGGAACCCAGGAAATTCCTGAGCCTCTGCCCACCAAAGCCCATACATACAGTTCAAGTGCATGGAGCACTGGGGCTCAAGCAGGCGCTTGGGTCCCTGCCACAGGCAGGAAGACAGTCATGCTGCACATGTGGTGGCCCCCAGACGGCACTTAGGGATTTGGCACAAAGAGGACTCCTTTCCCGAGCCACCCTCCTTTTGCTACCACACCCCATCCCACTCCTGTGCAACCTGGGCATCTCTACATCCCTTGAAATAGAAACCCTGCCTTATTCCCAGAAGACAGAGGCCCACAGGAGAGAGGCAACCTGGGGTGGAGAGCTGAGGAGCAGGAGCACAAGGACACACAAAGACCTGGAAAACAGATATGCACACAAAGACCAACATGCACACACAGTTACATAAACACACAGGCCCTCCCCAGTGCTAGAGACTTGGGAGGACAGGTTTGGGATCAGGGTCATCTTCCTCCATGCCCTGACCCTTTTCTATTTGGCAACAGAAGGGGTAGAGATGCTGCATGCCCCCTTGCCAGCAGACAGCAAGAGAGTGCTGAAGCAGAGTGACCTGATCCTGACCCCCGTTGGGGTCCTCAGATCATAGTCTGGCACCACCCATGCCCTGGCTGGCCTGCTTCTTGGCACCTGCAGGTGGACTTCCAACTCCTAACATCCCTACACACATGCTTGCTTGCTGCTGGGCATTTTCACAGTACCAATGAGGCCAGACACCCTGTTCCCTGGACCGTGCAGGAACTGAGGCTAAATCTGAGCTATCAGAAGTCCCTTTGTTCCCCTTTGGGGACAGATCATGGGACTAGGATTTGGCAAATGGAAACATTCCCCTGAAATATGGACACAGCTGGGTCCCCAGAGCATCTCCCTCCTCTGCGCTGTGCCTAGGAGGAGGACCTGGCTGGAATGGGGAGGTGCCCAGGACCAGTGCTGGGGCTGCAGGCATAGCAAAGGCAAGCATGGAATAGGCACTCCTCATGCCTGCCCCCCAGACTTTGTATAAAATATTCCCAGGAAAAAGAGGGAAACGAAGGGCCCAGCCCTGAACCTGTTGCCCAGACAGACAAGGAAAGGACAGGAATGGCAAGCTGCCGTTTTAATCTCTCAGGCAGGAGGGCTCCCCTGCCACTGCTGCTGCCCCCTCCCCTGTTCCCAAAAGCTGGAAGAAAGAAGAGGGAACAGCCCTACCCCAATTAAAAAAAGAAAGTCACTTGCATAATCCTCTTGGTGTATCCCCTTGTTCACCAGCCTGAGGGCAGACGAGCATGGTCCAAGCACAGCCTGCTGAGGTGTTCCCTTTTGCAGTCAGCAGGGTCTAGAGGCTCAGTGCCCCCTGCCACAGCTCCACCCAGTGAGTACAGAGTCCACTCAATGCCCGCCTTGGTCCCTTCAGCTGAATTTGTGGCTGGGCCCTGCTAACTGCTAGGACCCCCATTGAGGAAGTAGGTGGTCATCTCCCCCTTGCCCTTCACCTTGACCACCCCTCGACACTCCAGCTGGTAGCCCTTGGCAGCTAGAACCTGGTACAGGTCCGTGGTCACCTGGGGGAGCGGGAGGGGAGCCTGCTTAGCCTGGAATCCCTTCTGCTGCATTTGCAGGGGCCCACGGGTTCTCTAGTCAGGCTAGCTCCCCTCCCCCAATCCCTGCCCCACCAACCACAGAACACTGCCACCCTATCCCCTGTCCTAGCAGACTGCAGAGACCTGAGGAAGCCCTCTGGACATACTTCACCCAGCCCCTGCTCACATCCCCCTCACCTGGATTCGGTCAGGGACCCCCGTACTGTCCATACGGCTAGAGACATTCACTGTGTTCCCCCAGATGTCATACTGTGGCTTCCGAGCCCCGATGACGCCTGCCACAACTGGGCCCATGTTCAACCCTGAGGTGGGGAGAACAAGAGATTGAGATTAGTGGATGCTTCAGGGTCAACCCAGGTAGTCATCCCACCTCCTGGCACCTTTAGAAGGACCCAGAGAAAAAAATGGAAAAAGGACAAGTCTGCCAGTTATAAACAACGGAGCATCAGCATCAGCTGAGGAGCTCCCCTGAGTCAAGACAGCTGTGCTATAACAGTATCTGTGCCAACCACTCTAAGCATTTCACATTGTTTCATCCTCTCAACACCTCTAAAAGGTAGGTATTATTGTCCCCATTTTACAGATAAGATACCTGTAGCTTAGAGAAGTAAGATGACTTACTAAATAAGCCAGTAAATGGAATAGCCATAACTCCAGAACCCATGCTATTAATCACTCGCATCCACCAGTTCATCTGAGAGGAAGCACCTTTCACCAGACTGGCCATAGATAAGGACACAAGTATTGAAGTTTAGATAAACCTGGTTTCGAATCCCAGCTCAGCTACTAACTAGTTGTTTGACCTTGGGTGAGTTATTAATCTCTCTGAGAAGTCAGTCTCTCTATCTGTAAAAGGGGATAATAATGTGAAGACTAAGATGTGCTCAAAAATGTCTAGGACAGTGCCTGATGATCTCTGTTCTAAATATCAGACTCGGTACAGGAGGTGAGAGGGAAGAAACCCCACAGGAGTGCTGATGCAGAATCTGCGATCCCATCCCTCATCTTCACCCAGAGAGGGTACTGGGAAAACCTGCCAAGCAACCAGGCCCTCTCACCAATCTTCATCTGGAAGTTGTTGAAGGAGTGCTCGTTGATGTGCTTCATCTGCTCCATGAGCCGCATGGCGTAGTCGGCGAGGGCAGTGATGTGGGAGCGGCCCACCTGATCATAGGTGCTGGCGTTCAGCCCAGAGGCAGCCATGTAGGTGCTACCAATCGTCTTGATCTTCTCCAGCTGCCGGAACCGCTCCTCACTAATGATCTGGACAGCACAAGGGGACCCGGCTGTTGAGATGAGCCCAACCCCTACCCTGCCCCAGTGCCCATTCCCTGCCATGCCTTGGCTCCCTTCCCCACTTCCCTGTCTCAAGGGCCCCCTTTCCAGATGCTGCTCTCAGGGCTGGACTGAGGAGCCAGGAAAACAGGCAGGCTAGGATCCCTGGCCAGGACTTGGGCACACAGCTTCAGTCAACTGCACTAGCTCACTCAGAACACAGAACCACAGAAAGGATGTTAAGTATCAATTATTCCAACCCTCACCTTTTGGGAAACTGAGTCCCAGGGTGAGCAAGTGACTTCCCTCCAAAACAGTGAATGGCCCATTCCTGACCTGGATATTCCAGACACTTCCTCACATTTTGCTCCCAGTTTCTCTAGTCAGAGGACCATCTTGCTTGTTTGGTCTCATGGAGCTCTGTCAATAGACTACTGCTGCCTTCTTCAATGACATCCACCTGATACCTATCCTGTCCCCCCCCAAAGATCCTCATGTTCTCTTTTGCTCCTCAGTGATGATGGCCCTGCCCCACTGGGCCTGACCCCCTTGCTGCCTCTGATGCCTTCCTGGGTTCCTGTCCCAGCCTCCACCAGACCTACCCTTACCCCTACCCTTGACATCTCTGGGTCCCATCAAATCTCCCTTTCTCCTCCCAGTCCACCTGCCCCTTCCAATCCTGGCCTTCTCTCCTTGCAAAGTTCTCTCCACTCTCTGTCAGCACCAGCCGACGACTGGACAAGTACCTCATCAAAGTCAGCGATGATTT